CCCCCGGCCTTTTTTTTGGGGGGGGGGGGGGGGGGGGGGGCACTGCCCAGCTTACAGGCTCAGTCGGAATTTAAAAATTATAATTCCAAAAAGTCCCTGATTTATTCCAGCAACTGTAACTAAACTGGCAAAATGACACCCAAATTGCGCTAGGCAATTTTTTGTGCCAAGTTGGCTTCCTAAATTTGTAATTGAAAATCTTACGCTAATTATCTTATGTATGCCATATGTTTTAACTTGGCTGGCAGAAATTTGTCTTTCTTTTGTTTTGAATTTGATACTTTAAAAAAAAAAAATTAATCGATACCTCTGATTAACTTTAAATGTTGAGAAAGAAGAGACAGAATTAGGTTTAGCTCCTTTGATTACTGTTCCACAAATGTTCAAGAATTGTTTGAAGTTAGTGTCATCTTAGTTTTCATTGCAGGTCTGAAGGCTCTCTGATGCATCTCTTGGTTATTTGGAATAAGGCTTTTAGGACTTGGTTTGCTTGTAATTAGTTTTTGCAGTGCTGCGTTTGTTTTAAATGTGGTAAATTATTGATTTGTTTTTTGTTGACTTTGTACCGCGCTTCGAGCCTTTGGGGATGAAGCGTGTTTTTGAAATAAACTTTATTATTATTATTATTTTAGGAAAGGGATGGGAGATTTTAAGTCTTGGTTTTGAGAAAAGATGACTTGTATTCCATTTTGACATGTACATTGTAGTGTTAACTGTGATCAGATTTTTAAAAAAAACAACAAATTAATTCTTTGAAAAATAAGATTTTATAGCTCGAAGTTGTAGAAGCAACAAAAACAGTCATACCTGTGTACTGCATGGCTATAACTAATCCTTACATCGTTTGTACAGTTTATTGGCTTTAGGTGTGAAAATGTTCATGTTGAAATGGGCATGCTTGCTGATCACATGTAATATATGATTTGATTGCAGTTTGTAGATTTATAATATAAACGATTTAAAAAATATTTTAATCAGTTTGGAAACAATGCATCCATTATCCCTCAGTGGTGGTCTGTAAACTAGGTCCTGAGGATGAGACCTCAGTTGCCCATTGGTTTGTAAGCTAGGTACTGAGGATGAGGACCTCAGTGGCACATTGGCAAGGGTCTGCAAATTTAAATTGAAAAAAAAAAAGCAATGTATAAATTCCTGCTGGCCTGCTCACAGTTAAAAGACTGAGACCCATTGTTATAAAGTGTTATATAACTCTCAAAATTTTATTGTTTATAATCTGTGTGTGTTATTAATGCTATGATATTTTGCACTGTTTCTTTGTATGTGTGTGCGTGTTTGACTTCCTCAATTTTTTCCTACTGGTTTAATGGTCTCTGGTTTCAGAATTGAATCTGAATAGATATAGGTACTGAGGGGTTGTAAATAGATTGATAGGTACTGAGTGGTTGTCTTCTTATGTACTCAGAATTTTTTTTTCCACACAAGTGACCCATGAAGTTATTTCTTTGACTATATGATTCACTCAACCCTTAGCCAGTGGTTGTTATACTTAAGCAAGCAAGTCCCATATGAATTTGTTTCTCGGCCATCCGTACAGTGAGGAATTTTACCTCTTTGATCACCTCTTTGACTCTTAGTTACCATCAAGTTGTTGAAAAAGATAGTTCTCATCAAACTGGACTGATGAAGCATTGGTCACCATCGTATTGAAGGTTTATTCCTTCCCCATCAACACAGAGACAGTTTATTGCATATCTTCAAATGTAAGGGTTGTCACCAACCGCCCACCCAGTAACAATCTATTGATCGCCTTTAAGTTTAAGGTCCCCCCCCTCCCTTTCGCTATCTCGGCTAAATTGTAGTAATTTATCTCTTTAGAAATTGGATGGCACTTCATTAAACTTTCATAATTTTACAGTTAACCCCAATGAGGCACGATCTATCCATTGAATCTACTCTAACCATTCTCAAAGTCTGCCCTGTGGACACACAGTATGTATAGCCTAGTTAAAAACATCTCAACTCAAACCTTCCAGTATCAAAAATGCCCATTTTAAAATCACTATTGCAATAGTTTTCCAGGCTTATTAAGGACCCACTCCTATTAATAATATTAGCTGTGATTCTATTCCTGTTTATGCAGGTGTCTACTCTATTTTCTTACGTGTGTGAAATCAGAAATGGATAATTTGAAATATCGTTGACTAAAGCTCATAATGGGATGAGCTATGTGTTCAGCTGATGATGGGATGAGCTATGTGATCAGCTAATGATGGGATGAGCTATGTGATTAGCTCATGATGGGAGGAGATATGTGATCAGCTAATGATGGGATGAGCTATGTGATCAGCTAATGATGGGATGAGCAATGAGGCCAGTTGATGTTCACCTGCATTTTGTTATTTTTACAAAATATGATTTAATTGCACCTTTTTATCTTTAAATTATAGGACTTTATAAATCAGTTTTGAAGCTAGGAGGAAATGCAATTCTATTTAAATATTATTACCTCAATTAAACTCTTGTGTATATATTATAGTTATAGGACTTTTTTATTACTGCAATTAAAAAAAAACAACATCTCTCCATTAAAAAAAAAAGAAATATTACCATTCAATGTCTTATTCTTCATGTTCAATTTATTCTGAATGTTATAATCATTGAATATCTTATTCTCATGTTCAAGTTATTAGTTAATCTAGATTTATTTCCGGAGTAAGAAATAACATTTTATTTTATGTACCGGGTACCTCTACAATATACATGCGATATTTCCTAGAACTTTTTTTTAAAGCAGGGCATATATCATATACTAATTTGATTAATTGCCAGAAAATTGAGCAACAAAATCTGTGTCCGAATATTTTATTACAGCCCACCATTCTGGTACCAGTATGGGCACCAGGCAAGTTGGATTTAAGGACCCATGGTGGGTTGGATCTGATTCATATCCCATAGTT